TCGGCAACAGCTGCCATTTCAACGTCGGGAGCAGCAACCTCAACCGCGGGGGTAGCAGCATCTACAATGGGGGCAGCAACTTCCACAACAGCGTCCACGACGGGTGCAGCTGCCTCAGCAACAGGACCTTCTTGTGTTTCGGGTGTATCTTCCGCCGCCACAGTCGGTTCCTCCTTTGCGGCACCAGGGGACGACGCGTTGTTGTCGTTGTGGTGCTGCTCGTCGTCGGACGATTGGTTGTCCATTTGAGGGGTTTCGTGGTGTTGGTGGGCCAAATTCAGCTTCTTGAGCAACTTGGAGACTACCATGCAGCATCATCATCCATGGCAAGATCAGTTGGTACGCCACGTACTTCGCTTTTCACCCACAAGCCAGTCGGCGTGCGAGCCCTTGACCGCGGCCAGGATGCGCTTCGACCCGAACTCGGGGTTCTTTTCGTACACGCTCTTGATCGCATGGACCAGTTCTTGTTCAGTTGGGGTCGTCGTCGCCATGGCGGAGGAACTGAATTTCGACAATGAATTGCACTGACGTGGTGGCTAAAGTCCGAATTTCAATCAATACGGGCGCACTTTGCTCCTTTGCTAGGCAGAGGATGGGGAGATGGCCGAAATGAACAGCCCAATCGAGCCAACGTGGCAGCCCCATCAAATTGTTGAACCGGCCGCGACGCCAACGATTGGCCAACGCGACGTTCCCTCACACCATTAGTACGCGGTCGTGGCCGCCTGCGTCCCATGCTACCGACGGCTTGACGACGTATGTACATTCCTCTCGGGCACTTGCAAGGGCTGTTGTTTGGATGCCCCCCAGGAGTTGTTGGCTCGGGGCAGGGGCTGTAATGCATCGTAACACACAAAGTGTTCAGAAATCAGCGCCAACTGACCTACCGGCCTATTGTGGCCTACACATGCACGGCAAAAGAGAGATCGGCACGCAATCTCGAACGGATGAGATTCAAGGGCAGGTATGGACTCTCGCACGTCCTCCGCTGAAGCGTCCTGCGGATTTCGAAGCATGTGGGCCATCCGGTTAAAAAGTCCTGGCTTCAACCGACTGTTGTGCTGCGAGATCGTCGAAGTTGCACACTGACTTCGAATTCTCCCAGGATGTACAGCGATCGTATTGGCCTTGTCACTTCGAAGTTCGATCAAGATCCGCGCGCCAGCCCATGCGCCTCCACTACAGTACAGTCAACGACAGATTTTAAGGGACAACTTGTGCTTCGAATTTCTGATCACAGCCAAAATTCATTGGTCGAAGTACTTCGAAGTTCGCTGAAATTTGCAGCCAACCAGACAACAGTTAGCGAATTTCTCGGATTTCAACAAGTCAAGTATTTTAAATTACCTGGATTGATGGACAACTAACAATGATAAGCGTTTGACGCGGTAGCGCAGTGGTAAAACACGTTGTGTGTCTTGAGTGAGCCCCGGGTTCGAGACCCGGGCGCGTCGAACGTTTTTAGTAAAAATCAACACAACGCATCCGAAGAACGTTGCAGCATGGTATCGCTCGTTCGGGTACGGTGCCACCAAAACCCCGACCAGGCCATTCGATGCTTGACACATGCATGTGCAGCGCGGCAGTCTCGAGCGTCTCGGTCGTGTCCACTCGATGTTGAAGGATGACAACCCGTGGAATCAAGTGGACGTGGAGGCGGAGCTCTTTGGGGACGGCAAGACCAATTCCACTCGCGTCGCGTCGCCGGTGGCAAGATCCGACAAGAAAACGCCACGGGGACCTAGCGACGTCATGGCGGAGTTTGTCCGCAAGTACCATACAATGCTCATCGCCCACGTCGACGTGGGCCACGTTCGGTTTGCCTTTCGCCACGTGGGTGCCGCCAACGCTTTGAGGAAGAAGGAGTGGGAATTCAATTGCGAATTCGTCCGCGGGTGTGTTGCGGTGGCGGCGGACCCGGCCCCGTTCCTTTTGGTGGAAGGCCGTCTCTGAAGCGTCATGGCGTCAGTTGTCGTCCCTAAAGCTGTACGTCTCCAGGGCAGACATCAGCTCCCACACCCATCCCTCGTGACGCTTTCTCCCACTAGGCCAACTGCCTCATCGTGACGAATTCCATTGCCGACACCAACGACGGTTGCTTCTACGCCGGCCTCCGCTTCGATCCGTCGAATGTACGTGGCATGCTCACGCTGCAGCCACGACTGCGTCCTTCTCGCCATGACGTGCCTCCTGGTCTAGATTGCGTCCGAGTTTGC